CATCGGCTGGGGTAATGAGCCCTCGACCCCACGACACACAGTCTACGGACCCGACCCCGAGCCGCGTGAGCCTACCCTTGTCCCCGGTACAATCCCCGGGACCAACATTCCCCTCGCCGTAATTTCCGACAGGGAATTCCTCGCGCTAATCTTAACGACGGCGAACGAAGACGCGATAGAAGAAGAAGCGCCGTCGGAACCTACCTCAGTGCCTGAAGAAGACCCCGAAGCAGTGCGCGCTCGCTACATGCGCACCTCTGAGCTTCGCGCAAACGACTGATTAACTGCATCGAAGTTGGCGTCTTTGCGCCTGGCGCACTCTTGCGCCCTGACGGCTCCGAAGTCAGGACAACATCACAGCCGCGCACATGCACCGTCTGCCCCGAAGCCGCGTTGAGCCATCAGCCGTTCCCGCTGCTGGAACCAGGGACCAATCGCTACCCCAAACTGCACAAGGTGTGCGGTGCTTTCCTCGTTGTCGGCCACTACGGGCTCAACGAGGAGGGTTACAGTCTCACCTTCGTCGACGCGGGAACCCGCTACGTCTGGATTGCAAACGTGCAATTCCGCAGTCGCGCATACAAAGTCTTCCGCCTCTGGCTGGCCCACGCGCAGCAACAATCCGGCAAGAAACTCTGGCAAAGGCAAACTGACGGCGCAGCAAAATTCCGCAGCAAGGAGCTGCAGGACTACTTGGCGCAGAAATGTATCTCGCATCACATCTCTCTCCCTTACGTACACCCACAGCAGGGTGTTGCCGAGCGCACTAACCGCACACTCGTGACCAAGGTGCACGCGCTCCTGAAGCAGTCAAAGCATCCGCCAACATACTGGCCATACGCAATGCACCACGCCGTGCGGGTGCACGACCTCCTCGCCACGACAAGCATAACAGGGAACCTCTCACCGAACGTCAAGTGGACGGGGAAGAAGGGCGATACCTCCATGCTCCGCGTGTGGGGCTGCATGGTGCAGTATCGGCCCCCGACATCAACCATCGGAAAGTTCGCAAGCCGCGCGCGCTGGGGAATTCACCTCGGCATAAGCTACGAGTACAAAGCGTCGATTATTCTGGATCTACTCAGCCAAAAAGTCACGAATGCGCGCGACGTCATCGTCTACGAGCGACTCAACCTCGCCCAGTTCCGCGAAGATGAGCAGACGAACGCGAACCGCGTCTACGTGAACGAGGGGAATAGCTATGCCACTCCCGAGGACGAAGCCGCTGCCGCTATTCTGGAGGAAGACCGCGTGAGTGAATTCCCCGACATCGGAGGAGGCGATGATGACGACGATGACAGCAACGACTCGCCCCCATGAGCTGGCAGAGGAGGAGGAAGTAGCAGAGACCGCGCACCGTCACCACCACCACCTGAACCAGAGAGCAATGACGACGACGTGCAGGAAGTCGTCACGCAGCACTGCCACGACAGCACAGTCTCTGGATTACAGCTGCTGGGACTCCACACCGCCACCTCATCAGGGCCACGCGTCATCGAGCCCAAGAACCCGCGCTAAGCTCTCACAGGACCACACAGCAAGGAATGGCGCGAGGCTATGGATGCTGAAATTAAGGCACTAAAGTAGCGCGATACCTGGGTGCTCGTAGACCGAGGAGCAATCAAAGAAAGGAGAATCCTTTCGGGGAAGTGGGTCTTCTGCGTGAAGACTGCAGCAGATGGGACGATCGAGCGCTTCAAGGCACGCTGGGTCGTGCGCGGGTACGACCAGAGGCACGGCATCGATTTCGACCAGACGTTTGCGCCGGTCAGCCGTCACACCTCCGTCTGAATTCTGCTCGCTATCGCCGCCGCACGACACTTGCCCCTCCGTCAGATCGACGTAAAGAACGCCTTTCTTTACGCACTGGTTGATGCAGTAATCTTCGTCGAACAACCACACACCTACGGTGAAGGAGACTCACGTGTGTGTCAGCTGAGGAAATCCGTTTACGGGATCAAACAGGCGCCAAGGCTCTGGCAGCAGTATTTGCACAACATCCTACTCGAGATAGGATTCACATAGCTGCCGCACGATCCTGGAATGTATCGCCGAGACTCCCGCGGCGATTACATCCTGCTCACGGTCTACGTCGACGACCTACCTACTCTATACAGGATCCAGCAACGAACTGCTCAGCCAGTTCGAAAAGAACCTGGCGACGCGCGTTGGTATCACCTGCAATCATGACGTGAAGCAGTTCCTGGGCTTTAACATCACCTACGCACCAGAGGCCATTCACCTCTCAGCTGCCAAGTACGCCGAAACACTTGGCAAACGCTTCAACATCTCTCCAGCACCACTCTCCACTCCCTACCGCACTCCCGGACCGAACCACAAGCCTGGCAACAAAGCCCTGTCCCCCGCTGGACTCCAGACTTACCAGCAGCAGCTGGGTTGCCTGCTCTTCGCCTCTGTCACTTGCAGGTCCGATCTCTCGTACATCGCGAGCCAACTGGCTCAGTAGTCCCGCAAACCAACGGCTGAAAATCTCTTAGATCTTCAGCGAGCTCTGCAATTCTTCGTCTCCACGCCCAACATTGGGCTAACCTACTCCACAGTCTAAACCCCGTCCTTCAACCTCACCGGCTACGTGGACGCCGATCATGCTGCTGACCTCGACAATCGACCGTCCAGAACCGGGTTCCTGTTCCGCCTCGAGCCAACAGGACCCATCTCCTGGAACTCGCAGAAGCAGGAACTGGTTGCCCTGTCATAAGCCAAAGCTGAATTCATCGCTGCAACAGCAGCCGTTCGCGAAGGGCTTTACCTACAGGAGCTGCTGCAGGAGGCGAAAATACCAACTTCGCCAACCTTCCGCCTGCACTGCGACAACCAGAGCGCGATCAGAATCGCGAACAAGCCTGGATTCGTCAGCCGCACCAAGCACATCGCGCTGCGGTATTTCTTCGTCAAGGACGAAGTTGACAAATGCAAGGTCGACCTGACCTATTGCCCGACAGGGGAGATGGCAGCTGACTTCTTCACGAAGCGTCTGCCACGTCGGCAGTACCAGCACTGCTCCGAACTCAGCGGAGTAGTCAAGCGAGTCGAGACCAGCTACGACCAGGAGTGAAGGGGGGTGTTACGAATATCAAATGGCGAAAAGCACTACGCACTCCTGCCAGTAGCAAGCGAAGCACGCAGTAAAGAGAATGAAGACGAAAAGGCGGAATGACGCGAAGGGTCGCGCGCGTACGGTTATGAGACATCCGGACCGTCAAGGCAAACAGCATCAGGCAGCAGTAGTGGCAATGATTCTGCCGGAACCGTTCGTAACCGTCTGGAGTCGCACGGTTGGATTTTGCTGTATTAAGAGAATGTACCCCTTAGGGTACATGGCTAGTTATGTCGTTTCGTATTCCCCTGTACTCTTATTTATACGAATGTATTTGCATGTTTTTTATCATCTTAGTCATTGTAAATTCCCTCGGATCTGAGGTCACAAACTTCCGCTGCAACACTCAATTACTGCGAACCTTCCTGAGGTGATCCTAGGCTCGATCTTCCTTCCGATCGCAACAAGTGCGATCTTCGTTCGCTCCCTCGATTGCACTCGTTACAGATGTAAATTTGCTTTCATTATAAGAATGATGGTTATTAAATCCATGATTTCTATACACCAACGTCATGATGGTTTTAGATCTCTGTTAGAAGGTACGGCGTTGATGAGGTGAAACTGGCGAAGTTTCGGTTGTGCGACATTCCCCCGCAAAGAGTCGCGCTTCTGCGTGTGTTACAGACTATTCCCGTTATGTGCCGGGCATATTTTCGCGAGTCACATTGTTGCCCTCAGGCATGTTAACGACGAGAAAATTGCGGGCGTTTGACAATTTCGCCTGGGTTTTTGTTTTCGCTGGGCCGCAAAACTGAACGTGGTAACGGGGGCATCTTCAGGTGCATCAGTTCAGGAGATGCTGGGCTTGCATGAAGAGTGCCGCGACGGGACCCAGTCGGCAAGGGGACCCAATCCGTCGGTGGGACCCAACCAATGGCTCTCGCCCTTCACCTTGTCATTTCGGGCCTGCACGATAGGTCCATGACTGGAGAAGGGGAAAGGAGGGGAATGCAGCGTGAGTGCACCGTAGAGTAGCAACCTCTGCAGGAAGGAGAGGGGTGGGGGAGAATCGGATCCCCGAATCGCAGGTACATGTATAATAAAGAATAGGGTCGAAAGAAAAGCCGATCGCGTCCGGGAATAGGCCCAGCGCAACCCTGAATTCATGTGCGGCCCCCGAAACAAAACATGCTGCGAGGAGCTCCGACAAATGACCGTTAAATGCGCGTCAATGTCAGTTCAACACTCCCGAAACTCACCGAAGCTCTCAAAAGTCACCAGGGCCGGGTTAATCCGCTTCTGGTCAGTTTGAGCTACCCTCACGCGGTCGCGACGCGGCGCACTGATGCAGTAGTAGCCAGATCGTCGTCGCATCGAGATCGTGACGTCACGTTAGCGAGCGAGCATGGGAGAAGCAGCAGCCGTAGCTCCCCTGGAGTCGCCATCGCCATCAACATCATTATCATCCTCATCGGCGTCATCGACTCTTTGCCCTAATCGCCGCCTAATAGTAGTACCTTATCCGACAAATTCGAAGGTGATTTCGACGTCGACTCAAGAATCCAATCCCCTCTGTCTCTCGCGGCTCATTCCCGTGCTCTCCCTCGCCTTCCTCGCCCTCCTCCTCCTCCTGCTCAGCCCCATCCCAACCCTCGCCGCTTGCGCGCCCCGCGAAGTCCTCGACTCACAAACGCCGCGTAACGACGGCCTATCACACTCCGCCACGTCAGAAACCGCGCTGCGGCGGCAGGCAGGCGGGACGCTCGAAAATCGGCGACGCGGGCCGAGTCGCATTCGCGGAGGGCATGAGTCATTTTTGGGCGCTTCGACTCCGCGCGAGGCTAGACAACTGCTGGGAAATGGCGAGTGGGCGGGTGGAAGGAGGCGGCGACTGGGGGAGGGTGATATGCTAGTTACCTCGGCAGAGCAGGGGAGGCGGAAAATGGGAGGGCGCGATCATGATACGCTGGTTACCTCGGCGCTGAAGGGGAGGCGGCGACTGGGGGAGGGCGGTGGTGACATGCACGCGAGGCTGGCACCGCTGTGGGACATGGCGAGTCGCGTGGCGGTGAACGGGAGTGTCGTCATCGTGTCCGCCAATGCAGGCGAGTCGCCCATGCAGGCGAGTCGCGTCGCATGCGTGCTTCGTATGTTGTCCCATCGTATTGTATGGTCGCACATCGTATCGTATCGTATCGTATCGCATCGAACTGCATCATATCGTATCGTGTAGTGTAGTATAGTATAGTATAGTATCGTATCGTATCGTATCACGTGAGGACTACGTTCGCTCCCTTCCTCCCTCCCTCCCTCCCTCCCTCCCTCCCTCCCTCCCTCCCTCCCTCCCTCCCTCCTCTCCCTCCAGGTTTTGGTTTTCCAAAACCCCCTCCTCCGTCTTCCCCCCCCGCCTCCCCCCACACCTTCTCCCCCCAGCAGGCTACGGGGAGATACTGGTGAACTGGGCGCTGCACGCCCACAAGGTGTGGCTGCAATCTCCTCCCCGCTCCTCACCTCTCGGTGGATCCTCCGCCTCTAAACCCCCCGTCCTCTCCCACCATCCCCCTCCCCCTCCTCCTCCCCTCGCCTTTTTTATACTAGGCCACAAGAAGATGTTGGAGAACTGGGCGCTGCATGCGGACAAGGTGGGGCTGCGTGGGCACTACATCATCTTCCCCCCCCATGCCCCCTCCCCCTCCCCCCCTTCACCTCTCCCCCAACCAGGCTACGAGGAGATGCTGGAGAACTGGGCACTTCACGCTGACAAGCACTCTCCTCAGCAGATACTGACCCGCCTCCCCTTCCCTCCCCTTCCGCGCACCAACTTGGCAGGCCACAAGGAGATGCTGGAGAACTGGGCGCTGCATGCGGACAAGGTGGGGCTGCGAGGGCACTACATCATCTTTGCCGCGGAGAAGCAGAGCTTCGACTATGCCAACCACAAGTGGCCGGGCCAGGTGGGGGGGATGAAGGGGTTGTCAAATGTAGATCTGAACAGAATGACTAGTAGGATGGCATACAGTTATAACAATCAAACATGTATCCTAATACAACAAGCAAAGCAAGCAACACTGATTAAGAACAAGCAAGTGAAGACCATGACCACAAGTAACTAGTCCGAGCTGAGTACAAAACCGTTGATGGTCACAAGGTTGAAGTGCTTTTTAGAAAATGTCAGAGGCGTTGGCCTCTGAGGCCACTGTAACCACGCCTGCCTGACCGCGGTGCTGCAACTCACGCAAGAAGAAGTACGCAGCTCACGTGCTTCGTATGCCCCACCAGTCGGATTTCGGACACGACAGGATCATGGTCCTGTTGTCATCGAAAAGCACTGGGGCAGTACGAGGCGGTTCACCCAGGTCGGTGAGCAGAAAGGTGAGCCAGCGCAACTCCTGTGCAGCCATGGGACCGGCGTAGATCTCAGTCTCACAGCTAGAAAGCGCAACTGACGACGCACGAGTCAACCTCCAAGACACAACTCTAGAGCTGAAACTGAAGCTTTATCGTTGTGAAGATTTATGAGTCCAAAGAAATTCGAATCAACTCGACGGGCTTCTTATTATTCGCTCCCTTGCCCCTCTCCCCTCCCCTAGCAGGCGCTACTCCTGGACTTAGAGGACGAGTTCGTGCAGGAAGATGGAAGTGTGGACGTGTCCAAAGAAATCGGAATCAACTCAGCAGGCTTCCTCAGAGTGGCGTCCCGCCGGGCCGTCTACATCCTCCACCTCCTCGCCTTTGGCTTCTCGGTTCTCTACTCCGATATCGACCTTGCTCTCCTGCAAAACCCCCTCCCATACTTCGCTCCTTTCTCCTCCTCCTCCTCTGCCGCCTCCTCCGCCACCCCTTCACCCGACTCCGGCTCCTCCCCTCCTGCCCCTGCCCCGCCGAAAGAATTCGATGTATTCATTACCGCAGATCAAGCATGGACGAACGGCCCAGATCACACGGTCAGTCTGGCCGAGCCCGGGTTGCCGATGGTCATGTGCTCCTGCTTCCTCTACTTCCGCCCCACATCGGGAGCCAAGGCCCTCGCGTCCCTTTGGGTACACCACATGGTGGAGAAAGGGAATGCCATTGGCAACGACCAGGACCATTTTCTCAGTGTGATGAAGATCATGAGAGAGGCGCACATCCACGCGAATATCGGCGTGCTGCCCGGGAAAAAGTTTCCGTCGGGTGAAGTCATGCAGAATGACATGATGGGGTTTTTGAGGAATGGGGGGATGTGAGGAGTGGGCGTGACATGGCGGATGAGGTGAGCATGGCCCATGACCCACGCTATGAACGCGCCCCACCCGTGTCCGATCTGGTGGGGCGCGGATTGCGGAGAGGAAGAGGGGAGGGCGGGCAGCATGACGAGGTGCGGATGGGCCATGGGCCATGTGGAGAATGGGGGGTTGGGGGCGAGGCAACAGGGGATGACAGGAAACGGAAGAGCGGGATGGGATGGCACGCGGGAGGGGAGGGGAGGGGAGGGGAGAAGAGGGGAGTTTAAGGGAGGGAAGGGGAGGGGAGGGGAGGAGAGGGGAGAGGAGAAGAGGGGAGGGTAAGGGAGGGAAGGGGAGGGGAGGGGAGGGGAGGAGAGGGGAGGGGAGGGGAAGGGAGGGGAGGGGAGGGGAGGGGAGGGGAGGGGAGGGGAGGGGAGGGGAGGGGAGGGGAGGGAGGGAGAGAGCTATTTGACAGACTATGGAATACATCGGCTTCGCTCCTTCTGTGCAAATCGCCATTAGAACTTGGCCAATCGCCATCCATTCATGACTATGCTCACCAAGTCAGCCTTTCTTCTATCGTCGCCGCGCTCACTGGTTCGTTGTCGCAGACCATTTTCGCCCAGTGCTGTTACCGGGGACGTGCGACAATCACCAGCGACTGCGCTACTACTGCTGCTGCGATTCGCAGCGGCGACATTGCCAGAACATGGTGTCGCAGCATCTGTCGCACGGGAAAGGCAGTGCGAGATGAGCGACGCAACGTCAGTGCAGACATGCTGGCGACTGTGCGACGCGATTCCCGCCGGCCGCGAAGAGTCGCCGAACCCTCGTAGGTCCGGAACGACGACGCGGAAGCCTGCTTCGGCTAGCGGACCAATCTGCTTGTGCCACGTGTTCCAGAACTCGGGGAATCCGTGCAGCAGCACCACCTGCAAGAGCGCACGCACGCGTTGCGACAATGGGCGGACGAAAACCAAGCGTTACTAGAAGAAGAACAGGAAAGCGACCGCGAAACGAAAGCTAAGGAAATTCGATTCCTGGAAAACCAACACCACACGTGACACCAGAGAACGTCACGGAAACCAAAATACTGAAAATCGAGCGGAAGAGCCATAGGTGGAGTGCGGTGTGGAGGTGAGCGAGGGGTTGGAGGGGAAGGGAAGAAGCAGAGGAGCAGGTAGACAAACCAGTTGGCCGGTTGGCGGACCGGCCTCCACGAAGTGGATTGTGACGTTTGGGGCAGTCCGCAGGTAAGAGTGGCGGAAACCGTCGTCCTTAGCCATAGTGCGACGAAAATGAGCGCTATGCGAAGCCCCACGCGACGATTTATGGGCTCAGTGGTTTGAACCTTTTGGAATGGTTTGAAATTCGCCACTTGGCATTAGCGAGTGTTACAGTAGTGTCACCCACATTTGTATCGAACGAAGGATGAATTCGCAAGGGGGGGAAACATTCGCCTCGTCGTTGCTGACCCTCGGGCGAATTTCGTACAAGCTGCTCATCACGGCGAGTGTTTGCCGATTGAGTGCTCCAACATCGTAGATCACGACTGAAGAAAACATATAGATGTGATTTATGTCATTTAACTTCTAAACTACATGAGATTACAATGAACTTGTTTGGCGAAAGCCCTCCAAAAGCAATAACCGTGGTTTGCAGCTTAGTCAACAAGTGTTTTAATGCAAACATCATGACTGTAATGAACTCATTCGTAACAAATTTTAAACCTGACGGCAGCCCACTTCCACTCGGACCGAATAACAAGGCAAGATTGGATATATTTCGTTTTCGTTTGCGAGTGACTAACATGTACATTTTTTTTGGAAAACCGCCACATTTCTGATAAGCCGCCTCCTCCCCAATTCATCTCACGTCAGCATCAGCGCCTACTTTGACCGTATTGCCCTCCCCTGCCCTGCCCATACCCTCCCCCTTGCTGTCCATACCCCCGTCCCTGTTGCCCCCCATACCCCTGCTGCTGCTGACCCCCCCCATACCCCTGTTGCCCCGCCCCATACCCCCCTCTCCCACCATACCCTCCCGCTTGCCCATACCCCCCTGCCGCTTGTGCTGCCACTTGTGGTGCCACTTGTGCGCCTGCTCCACTACCAGGCCTCACCCACACATTCCCACCGTACCCCCCTTGCTGCTGCTGCTGCTGCTGATAGTACCCCCCCTGTGCCGGCTGCTGCTGCTGGTATACGGCCTGTCCCCCCCGATACCCATACCCCTGCGGCTGCTGCTGCTGCTGCTGATGCTGCTGCTGCTGCTGCCCATAGGCCCCTGCTTTCCCTCCATAAGCAGCAACCCTAGGGTCTGCCGATTGCACCGCACTGTACCCCCCCCTTTGCCCGTGACTGTAACCCCCACTATAAGGGGCGGCCTGGCTGTAGGGTGACTGTACGGGGAGAATGCCGCCCGCTAGGGGAACAGGGAGGGGCACGGGGCCGGCAGTGCCCATGTGACTCAGCCGCTGCTGCGCTTCCCGCAGCTGGGCGGCTGCCGCCCCGCCCTGCCGCCCAGCGGCGCCGAGAGAGTTGAGAAGCAGACGAGTGGCTGCGGCCCCCAAGGCGGGCCCTCCTATGGCATTGTGCACTGGCCGCCTGGGAGAGAAAAGGGGGAGGGAAGAGAGGGAGTGGAGGAAGAGGAAGGAGAGAAATTGCGAGGGAGACGGAAGGGACAAGGAAGGAGAGGAGGTAAGGAGGGTAAGAGAAGGGAATCAGGAAAAAGGGAGGGAAGGGATGTCTCTAAAATGTACCGAGTGGTCAGGAATTTGGTCAAAGTGACCCTGTTCACTCTAGAAGATATTGAGATGCTCCCTAAGGGGGGTGAGGAGATGCTCCCTAAGGGGGGTGAGGAGATGCTCACTAAGGGGGGTCAGGAGATGCTCACTAAGGGGGGTGAGGAGATGCAATGGCAACAATAGGTGAGACGCCAAGCCAAGGTACCTGTCCTGTATCTGCGGTCGCCGTCGCCCCCATGTGTCCTCGTGCCACAGCGGCTCCGACTTAATGTCCATCTCTGATACCAACTGGTGGGTGAAGCACGCAGGCAGGCAGGCACGCAGGCAGGCAGGCAGGCAGGCAGGCAGGCACGCAGGCACGCAGGCAGGCAGGCACGCAGGCACGCAGGCACGCAGGCAGGCAGGCACGCAGGCACGCAGGCACGCAGGCACGCAGGCAGGCAGGCAGGCAGGCAGGCAGGCAGGCAGGCAGGCAGGCAGGGAGGGAGGGGCAGCAGTGGGTGGGGAGAGAGGGAGCACAAAGGAGTGTTGGGACGTCAACCGCATGCATTGGTGCCACAGCGGCTCCGGCTTGATGTCCTGCTCTGATACCAACTGGTGGAGTGGAACAGGAGTGGGCAGACAACGATGAAGGGGGAGCAGCCGCGGGGGTGAGAGAGGAGGGAGCACAGGTGGGTGTTGTTGTGGTATCGACCCCTCCCTAAACCCTCAACCCTAAACCCTAAACCTACCATATGGCAGGACCAGAGAGAGCGGGAAATGGGGGGCGAAGAGCAGCGATGAGGGCGGATACATGCCTAGGGCGGAAGATGCATGTCTTGACCAGCAAGCACATGCTTTGGGCAGGAAAATCATGAATTGAGCGGCGGATACATGCATTGGGCGGCAAGCACATGCCTTGGGATACATGCTTTGGTCGGCGGATACATGCATTGGGAGGGTAGATAGCGCCAGCTGGCGGGCGGCAGATACATGCTTGCCCTTGAGCGTCAAGTACATGGCGTGGGCGGCAGATACATGCCTTGGGCGGCAGATACATGCCTTGGGCGGCAGATACATGCCTTGGGCGGCAGATACATGCCTTGGGCGGCAGATACATGCCTTGGGCGGCAGATACATGCCTTGGGCGGCAGATACATGCCTTGGGCGGCAGATACACACCTTGGGGGGGTAGATGGCGCCAGCTGGCGGGCGGCAGATGTGACGATGGAAGTCAGGATTCTTGTAGACCACACAGCTGGCGAGAGGGTGAGGTGCAGGGGAGGGAGGGAGGGAGGGAGGGAGGGAGGGAGGGAGGGAGGGAGGGAGGGAGGGAGGGAGGGGGGGAGGGATGCAGAGATAAGGTAAGAGGTTTAGACAATGGGCAGATGCGGTGATGGAAGTCAGGATTCTTGTAGACCACACAGCTGGAAAGAGGGTGCGTTGATGGTGGCGGTGGAGGAGGGGGGAGGGGGGGGTATTGGGAAGGGGGTGGGGGAATGTAAAGACACGGTCAGAGGTGCAGACAAGTCTGGTAGATGTGGCGACGGAAGAGGGGATCTTGGTAGACCACACAGCAGGAGGGGGGAGAGGGGGAGGGAAAAAATGCGATAAGAGGGGAACGGTACGAGGAGGGTGAGCGATAACTGGAGTGATGAGAGCAATTGCAGTGGAAGAAAGGAATGATGGGGGGGCGCGCAGCATGGGCGGGCAGAGCTGCCAGCTCACTCACATGAGTCATGTGAGATGACCTACTCGCCAGCTCGGAGCACCTCATAGCACCTGACGGCCAGCTCACAGCACCTCACAGCACCTGACTGCTGGCGCACAGCACCTCACAGCACCTCACAGCACCTGACTGCTGGCGCACAGCAGCTCACAGCACCTCACAGCACCTCATAGCACCTGACTGCTGGCGCACAGCAGCTCACAGCACAGCACCTCACCGAGTTGCTGTTGCTGCCGGCTCACATGACTTGGTTGCTGGTGATGGTCTCGAATCCGGTCATGGGGGCACGTAGCATGGCCGGGCAGGGCTGACCGTCACAGAGCACTAGATACCCGTTCATGCCATCGCTGATGCATTCATTCCCCCTTGCACGGCAACCCAGGGAGAGGGGAAGGGGAGAAAAAGAAGGGGGGGGAACGGGGGGGGGGTTGGGAGGGAAGGGGGTGGCAGAACACCGGGGGAAAACAGAGAGAAGGAAGGGGAAATCATGAGGGAGGATTGTGGGATGCGTGTGGTTGCATGCAGCACGGGCGGGCACGGTTGACCGTCACAGAGCAGCAGATAGCCGTTCATGCCATCACTGATGCATTCATTCCCCCTTGCACACAACCCCAACCGGGGGGGAAATAGGAGAGGGACAGGGGGCAGGGGCAGGAGGAAGAGAAGGCAGAAGCAAGAGGGAGAAGGAGCGAGAGGGAGGGGGGGAGAAATGAGGAACCCTTTTGGGATGTGTGTGACTGCTCACAGCAGCGTGGGAGAGCAGGGCAGGGCATTGCCAGAGACGATTTTTGAGTCAACTAAAAAATCGTCTTAGCAGGGCAGGGCATCGCCAGAGGAGAGGACAAGGTAGGCACGCGTTCATGCCATCACTGATGCATTCATTTCCCCTTGCACCGCAACGCACGGAAAGGAACAGAGCTGAAGAAACAGAGGAAAAAAAATACCCGAGCGAGGTACATGCCTCAGGGAGGTACACCTGAGGGAGGTATACCTGAAGGAAGTATGCCTGAGGGAGGTATACCCGAGGGAGGTATACCTGAGGGAGGTATACCTGAGGGAGGTATACCTGAAGGAGGTGTACCTGAAGGAGGTGTACCTGAGGCTGGGCTCAATGGCGTGCTTCTTGTGCGCGCGTGCCTTGGCGTCGAGCTGCCCCCACTTGCCCATCATCTCCCACACCGCCTTGGCTAGTGGATACCCCGATGAGAAGTACATCAGCTCGCACAGCTGGCTGTTGCGCCGCCTCTCCTCGGGCTGGCAGGTGGAAACACACGGTTCAACAGGGTGCAGTACGGTACAGACACAAAGAGGCACAACATGAGTACATGAGCTGCCCCCACTTGCCCATCATCTCCCACACTGCCTTGGCTAGCGGGTACCAGCTCGCACAGCTGGCTGTTGCGCCTCCTCTCCTCGGGCTGGCAGGTGGAAACACACGGTTCAACAGGGTGCAGTACGGTACAGACACAAAGAGGCACAACATGAGTACATGAGCTGCCCCCACTTGCCCATCATCTCCCACACTGCCTTGGCTAGCGGGTACCAGCTCGCACAGCTGGCTGTTGCGCCTCCTCTCCTCGGGCTGTGAGGGTGGGGGTGCATGGTTCAGCATGGCACAGTACGGTAGAGAGACAACAAGCACAGAGCACAAAGCATGCGGATCATGCCACAAGCTCGGTTGAACACAGCACAGCGCACAAGCAGGGGTATGGTGCCTGCCTGCCAGGGGATGAAATCAAGAACAGTGACATGATGCGGCATGGCACGGTCCAATGATATGCAATGGCATCAACGTGTGCTGCTGTGTGGTGGAAGCAGGGTGGACTCACAGTGAGAGTGGACTCGACTTGCTTGATGGCTTCTAACAGACGGTCCTCATCAATGAACGGCAGCAACGCCACTCCCTGGGAGCATGGTTCGGTGTGGGGAAATGGGGGGAGAGTGGCACGGCGAGTGGGCGTAGAGAGTGGGCAAACGATTCAGAAAGGCAAGAAGACGAGAGAGAGGTGGTTAGTCTGCAGGTGAAAGAGTGTGAGAAGGGAAGTAAGTGAGAGCGAGAGTGATTGTGTGAGTGTGAGTGTGCGTGTCAGTGGAAAGGAGGAGAAACTGACCTGCCAAGCGAAGCGCTTGCCGTTCATGTCGACACTGAAGTCTGTAGAAGGGGGGGGAGAGCGGAAGGGGGAGAAAGTGGGGCAGGGGGAAAAGAGGGGCAGGGGAGAGGGGCAGGGGGAGGATTCTTGAGTCGTTTCAGAAAAGGAGACTGACCTGCCAAGCGAAGCGCTTGACGTTCATGTCAACACTGAAGAGTGTGTACAAGGGGGGGAAGAGGAAGGGGGGAGGCCGAGGGAGGGACGAGGGTGTGAAGAGTGGGGGGGCGGGGATGGATAGATGGATGGATGGACGGAAGGACAGACAGACGGAGGGACGGAGGGATAGACAGACGGACGGACGGACGGACAGACGGACGGACGGACGGACGGACGGACAGACGGATAAATGGATCAATGGATGGAGGTACTTAGGGATGGGATGGCATGGCATGGCATGGCATGGCATGGCATGGCATGGCATGGCATGGCATGGCATGGCATGGCAAGGCAAGGCAAGGCATGGCAAGGCATGACATGTCCTGTAACGAGGCGCCAACCAGTGGGATAGAAGTCAACAATGGGCGAGACAGAAAGGGCACGAAGAGAGGCGAGCAAGGCGCTTGCCACTCATGGATGGATGCCGGCAGCGAGGGCATAGAATGGCATGGCAAGGCATGACATGGCAAGGCACTTGCCACTTATGGCATGGCATGGCAAGGTGCTTGCCATTCATGGCATGGCAAGGTGCTTGCCACTCATGCAATGAGGCGTGTGCGTACCAGTGGGGTAGAAGTCAACAATGGGTGAGGCAGGGTCCGACATGAGCTTGCGGTATGCTGTTGGCAGTGCGCCGGAACTGCCGTTGGGGCGGGTTGGGGGCGGTGGGGGGCGGTTGGGGGCGGGCGAGGGGCGGGGCGGGGGGGAAGTGGGTGGGAGAAGAGGGTGAGGCAGGGTCCGACATGAGCTTTCACTATGCTGTTTGCAGCGCGCCAGAACTGCCTTGGGGGGAGGAGAAAGGGTTTTGTGTTCAGAGTTAGAAAGGATCGATGGGGGAGAGCCGCGAGAGAAGGGTGGGAGAGGAGGGGGAGAGAGAGAGGGGAGACGGGGGAGGGGGCGGGCGGGGAAGGAGGATTCTGAGAAGAGGGGATGACAGGGCTCTAGGTTGCGGTATGGAGCAGACAAGAGGAGGATGCAGGGTGGGCGGGGAGGGGAGAGAAAGAGTTTCGTGGCTAGAGATAACGAGTGAAGAGCTTGCAGTTACGGTGCTACACCACACCACCGTACACCACTCACTGGAACCGCACTGCACCGCACTGCACTGTACATGGCGGCGGGCAGCACGCCCATGAGCTGGTCGAAGAGATTGAAGGGGCGGCCGAGGAAGAAAAGGATCTCCAGCTCGTCCAGACGCACACGTGGCAACAACACACAGCACCGCACTCCACCGCACACAACCACACTGAACCACATCTCACCACACACTACCACAGCTGAACCGCACTACACCGTACCTGGCGGCGGGCAGCACGCCCATGAGCTGGTCGAAGGGCTTGAAGGGGCGGCCGAGGAAGAAGTGGATCTCCAACTCGTCCAGATGCACCAGGTCCGATGCAAAGGGTGCGTAGTGGTACGGGTAGTACCTGCGGGAGGGGGGTTGTGAGGTGGGGGGGTGTCACAGAGGGGTGGTGTGAAGATCGTGGTGGGGTGGATCATGGATGGGATGGATAGACCAATGGAAGTTGGTCCTCACAAGAGACTCCACCTCGTCCAGGCGCACCAGGTCCGATGCAAACGGTGCATAGTGGTACGGATAGTACCTGGGGGAGGGGGGTATGTGAGGAGGACGGGAGGAGGACGGGAGGAGGACGGGAGGAGGACGGGAGGAGGACGGGAGGAGGACGGGTAGGTCGGGGAGGAGAGGAGAGAGGGAGTGGAGGAGTGGGAACGGACGGAGAGTCATCTCAAGAAACGAAATCTATATTGAAGAAATGCACAGATGCAAACAGTGCAGAGCGATACAGTACAGGTACTGAACCCAGGTAATACGCCTTGCTCTCTCTCACCAGTTCCATGAGCACACTCCCTAGTAGTAATATCGCATGACCCACCAGTACCACATGACCCACCAGTACCACATGACCCACCAGTACCACACGACCCACCAGTACCACATGACCCAGTTATCCAGTAGAGACGCTGGCACAAAACCGTCACTACCCTCCCTCTCACCTCTTCAATCTAGCCACCTCTCACCAGTTCCACGCGCACACGCCCTGGCAGGCAGTAATACATTACTCATCACCACCCACCAGCACCCACCACGACCCACTTCAATCTTGCCATCTCTCACCAGTTCCAAGAACACACGCCTTGGTAGTAATATCGCATGACCCAGCACAGACCCTCCACAAACTTCAGCACCTGCAGGAGCGATAGGCAGAGGTGGTTGGGTGTGAGAATGAGAGGACTTAGTGTGTGACTTGTAAGCGTGGGTGTGAGAATGAAACACCTACTTAGAAAACCCTCAGGGGCGGAGGGAGGATCGAGAAAGAACCGTCAAAAGGCGGAGGGAAGGTGGAGTGGGTGGTGAGCCCAAGTGCGGTCGGGTGGAGTGCGCAGTGAGGTGGAGTGTGGTGAGGCGGAGTGCAGTGCGGTGGGAGGGCACTGACCACGTCCTGGCGAATGCGCTCCTGCTCCTCATACGACGTCACGCCAAACTTCTGCTGGTAGTACCGCTCCTTCCACCCGTCGTCTCCCAGCCGGATCTGATGCATGCGATGGGGAGGGGCGAGGCAATGCATGCATCATGCATGGCAGAAACGCTTGACGAAGCAAAGAGTGAGTGCGTGCAATGTCGGTCCAGGGAGGAGGAAAGCATGGTGCAGAGATGAAGCACGGATGCACCATGGCACCACATTCCGCTCCTCTGCCCCCCCTACAAGAGGGCAACCACTGCTACTACTGAGCACAAGCTTGTTGCCTCTTCATCCCCTCTGCCTCACCCTCCCCTCACCCGTCCCTCACTTCATCCTCTCTCCTCTCGCACTCCACCTCCTGGTCAATTCCCATCACCCCATCGTCCCCACATCCCTTCACCCCTCCACAACTCCCCCTCTTGCATTCACATGAACGCCCTGCCCCTTCCCCTGCGACCAGGTCCGAGCAGACCTTGAGCACGCACCAGCACTCTTCGCTCTCTGTCCAAAGTATGTTGCAGCCCTCTCTACTCAAACTACACCATAACCCTCTCCTGTGAGCCAGCTGCACTCTCCCATCCCATCCCATCCCCCTTCCCTCACTTCGTAATCCGGCTCCTTGCCCCCCGGCGAACAATCTGACTTGCCCTTGCGTGCCAACTTAAGCTTCAGCGTGACCGCAGAGCAGACTACCAACACCCCACCGATCTCACAACCCTCTCCTCTGAGCCAACTCAACACCCTCCCCATCTCCCACCTCATCATCCGGCTCCTTGCCCTTCAGAGCCAAATTGAGCTTCAATCTCCACTCCAACCACATCACGATTCCATCTCAGATCAACCCTCATGCATCTCTCACCTCATCATCCGCCTCCTTGCCCCCGGCAAACAGATCCGACTTGTCCTTGAGAGCAGATTTGAGCTTCATCTTGAGCCGACTACACAATATCACAAACCACTCTCGCAACCCTCTCCTCTGAGCCAGCTCAACCGTCCCAACGCCCCCCCCTCCACCCACCTCATCATCCGGCTCCTTGCCCCCGGCAAACAGATCTGACTTGTCCTTGAGCGCCGATTTCAGCTTCATCTTGAGCCGACTACACAATATCACAAACCACTCTCGCAACCCTCTCCTCTGAGCCAGCTGAACCGTCCCAACGCCCCCCCCTCCACCCACCTCATCATCCGGCTCCTTGACCCCGGCAAACAGATCTGACTTGTCCTTGAGCGCCGACTTGAGCTTGAACTTGAGCTCCTCCTGTAGATCCTCCTCCTCCTCCTCCGCCTGCACGGGAGACCAATGGAGAGGGCAGCAAGGGGCAGGCAGGCAGGGCAGCGTGGGGCAGGCAGCGCGCAGGAAGGCAACAGACAGTGACGGGTGAGATGAGCGTGGAGCTGAAACGAAAGGAAGAAGGTAAGGAATGATGGAACAAAAAAGAAGAGTAAACGATCGCTCAAAAGATTATGACCACCCCCTAGGGGAGACAAGAGACTCATAGGCAAGGACAAGAACGGAGGACGAATGGCAGCATGCAGGCACACAGCGGGCAAAAAAAAGGAAGGGCACATGACAGGCGCATGGCAGGCACATGGCAGGCGCATGGCAGGCGCATGGCAAGCACATGGCAAGCACGTGGCAGGTGCGCTCTATTGATGCAGGCAGCACACATGCGAAACTGGTGGAACAAGGGCAGGAGCGCAGGCAGGCAAGCATGAGCACGCGCAGCGAGCAGTGAGCAGCACACGACGCGTAGTGCATGCACTACTGGTGGAGCGACTTTGCGAGACTTTGCTAGACCACTATCCCCATGTCACCTTTCGACCATCACTTCTCACACTGCTCCCTCTACTGAACCTACCACCACTCCCTACTCTTCCCTACCCTTCCCTACCCATCTCTAACCTTCTTCACCCTTCCCTCACCTTCCCTTCCCTTCCCTACCCTTCTCTACCCCTCCCTATCCTTCCCGACCTTCTCACTCTTCTCACCCTTCTCTAATCTTCTCTACCCTTCCCCAGCTACCCTACCCTGCCCCATCCCTCCCTCCCTCCCCTACACCAGGGCCGATCGGCCAACCTCTCTCCCTCCTGCGGCGGCAGCAGCAGCAGCAGCGCCAGCAGCACCAGCAGCACCATCCACACGCATCATCTTCGTTACAGGTGGCGCAGCCGGGTCGGCCGACGATGCTGACGTGGCGTGGCCTGCCAGCTTGGCGCGCAGAGCAGCAGCAGCCGCCTGGTTGCTCCCCCCAGCCGATCCATTGGTGGTAGAAGAGGGGTTCGCGAGGGGCGTGGCGAGCAGCGCGAAGGAATTGCGGGAGGCACTGTTCATGTCGCTGCGGCTGTATAGTCCTCCGTGGTGCGTTGGCTGCTGCGAGGCTGGCAGCTGCAGGGAGGGGGATTTGGGGGGGGGGGGGGGGGGGGGGGGGAGGGGGGGAGATAGGGAGACATAGAGGAACAGGGGAGGCGCTGTTCATGTCGCTGAGGCTGTATAGTCCTCCGTGGTGCGTTGGCTGCTGTGATGCTGGCAGCTGCAGGGAGGGGAGGAGGGGGAGGGGGAAAGGGGGGGAGAAGCATGGAGAAGCACATGGGACATGTGAGATAGAGGGGCAAGCGAGACCAAGGGGTGGCAGCCACTGGAAAATAAGGGGTACAGAGGAACACACAGGACAGGACGTATGAAGAGGCGAGTGGAGCCACGGGCTTGCACCCGCTGAGGCCCCACAACCCCCCCCACAGCGCATTGGCTGCTGCAAAGCTGGCAGATGCAAGGGGAAACGAGCGCAACACCATTGTGCAACATCTCAAAGCATTTCGTGTGAAGCAGTTTTAAGCGATGTTTTGAGACGTCTCAAAACACAAGGGGAAGCGAGCGCAACGCCATTGTGCAATATCTCAAAGCATTTCGTGTGAAGCAGTTTTAAGCGAGCAGCGAGCAGAGGGCGCTGTGTGGTTGGTTGGTGAGGCACATACTGGCTGCAGGGCGGAGGAGGGGACGTTGGGGGCCGCCTCGTCTCCCTTGCGGTACTGATTGCGCTCCTTCTGCTGCCTGTCTCTCACCCTCCTATCCTTCTGCCTCTGCTCATGTGCCACGCGCCAAACACGCACGCACACACACACACATGCACGCTCACCCAGTGCACACACACACGCACATGCACGCACACACAGTGCACACACACACACACGCGCGCATGCACGCACACAGAGTGCACACACACACACACACACACGCACATGCACGCACACAGAGTGCACACACGCACACACGCACACACACATACGCACATACACACACACACACACACACACACACACCACATGCCATAACCATGCACCACGCAGCATGCACGCCATACATAACCCATGCATGTCAAGCGCATGGCAACATACAGGGGAGGGAGAAAGAGATAAGTGCACCATGGGACCCCGCATCATAAATGAACCACGAATGGACAAGGAAAGACTAGTGCACTATCTCCCAATGCTTGCACCACTTGTCACCTTGCTGCCTGCACCTTGCAGCCTCACACCCTTCCCTCCCTCCCTCCCTCACACCCTCACACCCTCCCTCACACCCTCCCTCACACCCTCCCTCACACCCTCCCTCCCTCACACCCTCCCTCACACCCTTCACCCACACCCGCCAGTGCTGCACTGTGCCTTGAGGTCAGCTCAGTGCTCTTTCTTCTGGCGAGTCAACCTAGGTAGGTGCAAGCACGGCATGCGGGTCACACAGAGCCCGCACGCACTCACTCATCTCACCCCTGGAGTTGGACTGCTCGTGCACCACCTCGCATCACCGCACAGCACCATGCAGTGCACCACCATGCAGGTTACCTGGTGGATGCGGGCGCGCTTCATGAAGATGGACTGCTCGTGCACCGCCACGGCCTGGATGAAATGCTCCACCCGCCTCAGATCTACCTGAAAGGGGAAATGGGGAAAAAGGAGGGGGACGGAGGGGGAGAGTGTGGGGGGAGAGGGGGGGTGGGGTGCAGGTTTGTTGGAGCTTCATGAAGATGGACTGCTCATGCACTGCCACTGCTTGGATGAAATGCTCCACCCGCCGCAGATCCACCTGGGAGAGGGGAGAAAAGAGGGGGGCGGGGGGAGAGGGGGAGGGAGGGCGGGGGGTGAAATTTGGGGGGGTAGATGCACTGCTCGTTGCACTGGCACGGCCTAACTGAAATGCTCCACTCGCCGCAGATCAACCTGAAGGTAAAGGGGAGGGAGAAAGGAGAGCAAAGGGGGGGAGGGGAAGGGAGGGGAGGGGGGGAGGGGGAGGAGGGATGTGTGGGGCTTGGTGCAGATGGATGGACTGCTCGTTGCACTGAAATGGTTCACCTGCCGCAGGCAGATCCACCTGCCCACAAGGGGGGGGACACGTGGGTTCATGGGAGCACCAAATGGGGCGAGAAGGTTGGGGAAAGGAGGATGGAGCAAGGGAAGGGAGGGGAGCGGGTGCGAGGGACGACCAGGGAGAAGGTGAGTGCCGTACACGCATACACACACACACACACACACACACGCACACACGCACGCACACACGCACACACGCACACACGCACACACACACACACACACACACACGCACACACACACACACACACGCACACACACACACACACACACACGCACACACACACACACACGCACACACACACGCACACACGCACACACGCACACACACACACACACACACACATACACACACACACGCACACACACACGCACACACGCACACACACGCACACGGACTCACCTCGCCGTTCTCTGTGAGGTAGCCCCCCAGGTTGGCGAACTTGCGGCGATATATGAAGACGAGCAGGTTGATGGCACCCTGTGGAGACACACACACATGCACATGCATACATACAGACATGCGCACGTACACGCACACACACACGCACTCACCTCCCCATTCTCTGTGAGGTAGCCTCCCAGGTTGGCGAACTCGGGGCGGTAGATGGAGACCAGGATGTTGATGGCGCCCTGTGGGATGCATGCACACACAGAGACACACCCACTGCCACTGCCACTCCCGCTATCACACCCACTGCTATTGCCACTGCAACAGGCACGGACTCACCTCGCCGTTCTCCGTGAGGTAGCCCCCCAGGTTGGCGAACTCGCGGCGGTAGATGGAGACCAGCAGATTGATGGCGCCCTGTGGAGCACACACACACATGCACATGCATACATACAGACATGCGCACGTACACGCACACACACACACGGACTCACCTCCCCATTCTCTGTGAGGTAGCCTCCCAGGTTGGCAAACTCGCGACGATAGATGGACACCAGCAGGTTGATGGCGCCCTGTGGAGCACACGCACATGGAAATGCATCCACACACGGGTGGGAGACATGAGCTTGACAAGTGCGGCGACATGAGCTTGCAATGTGGGGAGACAAGAGCATCCCAGGGACCATTGGGGCGCCTGAAAGAACAGCAAAGGTAACAGGTGTTCACCTCACACCACGGAGGCCGGGTCTACCATCCTCCTCCCATCACAACACACCTCTCTGATCTCAAGAGTGGGCATGTGCAGCAGGAAATCGTTCCCCACGAAGAAGCACATGAAGACAAAGTCATCCAGCACTCTCTCCAGATCCATCTCACACTGTGCCCCTCCCACCCACAACATGCCACCACCGTTCCCAACCCACTCACACCACGAATACCCCTTCCCAGAACGCACCTCTCTGATCTCGAGAGTGGGCATGTGCGGCAGGAAGTCATTCCCCACGAAGAAGCACATGAAGACAAAGTCGTCCAACACCCTCTCTAAATCCATCTCCACTCCTGGCACACGGAACTCCAGCTCCAGGTACTCTCGCAGCACCCAGCACTGCAGCAACTGGTGGTGTGAGATGAGGGAGCGCAATGCAAGGGGGCACACAGAACAGAACAGAAGATGTGGAGAACAGGCACGCACGACCCTCTCAACCCTCTCAACCCTCTCAACCCTCTCAACCCTCTCAACCCTCTCTGCCCTCTCTGCCCTCTCTGCCCTCTCTGCCCTCTCTGCCCTCTCTGCCCTCTCTGCCCTCTCTGCCCTCTCTGCCCTCTCTGCCCTCTCTGCCCTCTCTGCCCTCTCTGCCCTCTCTGCCCTCTCTGCCCTCTCTGCCCTCTCTGCCCTCTCTGCCCTCTCTGCCCTCTCTGCCCTCTCTGCCCTCTCTGCCCTCTCTGCCCTCTCTGCCCTCTCTGCCCTCTCTCTCTCTCTCTCTCTCTCTCTCTCTCTCTCTCTCTCTCTCTCTCTCTCTCTCTCTCTCTCTCTCTCTCTCTCTCTCTCTCTCTCTCTCTCTCTCTCTCTCTCTCTCCAGCCAGATCCATCTCCACCCCCGGCACGCGGACTCCAGCTCCAGATACTCGCGCAGCACCCAGCACTGCAGCAACTGGTAACGCGAGGGGCGTGCAGCAAGGGAGAATGAAGCAATGGACAGAGGGAACGGGGCTGGAGAAAAGACGAGCACTCCACTTCCCCCCTCTCTCCAGCATCTCTACGCCCGGCACGCGGAACTCCAGCTGCAGGTGCTCTCGCAGCACCCAGCACTGCAGCAACTGGTGGTGGTGTGAGACAAGGGACGGGGCAATGGAAGGGGGCACGGGGAAGAGAAGTGGAAAACGGGCAAGTTCCTTCTCAAGGGCTCCTTGGCACGCTGCCCTCCTTCTCGTCATGCTCGCGGCGCCCCTCTGCCTCTTAAAGCTTCAGTATACATTTGAGAGCTTGGGGTTCAAAATCCTTAGGAACTTGAAACGTTGGGGCAAAACCGTGAGGCACACTGTAAGTAAAACCCCAAACCCCGCTGACAAATGTATACTGGAGCTTAACACCGACTCACAGCACACCTGGAACACACACACACTCTCCCAGTACACACTTCCTCCACACACACACACACACACACACACACACAGACACACACACATACACACACCCAGCACACACCCCCTCCACACACACACTCTCCCCCAGCGCACACTCCACCAGAGCACACCCCCCACACGCAACCCCACCTTCATGCACACACACACACTCCCCAACCACACTCTCCCTCCCCTCCACACCCAATCACCTCTGTAACGGCTTCTTGGGCACACCCCCCTCCTTCTCCTCGTTCATTCTCGCCCCACTTGCTTTTTGAGCCGACTCACAACACACCTGGAATGTTCATACACTGCCCCCCCACCACACCCACTCCCCCCAAACACGCACCCCCCTCTTCCCTGCACAAACGCTCACCTGGAAGGGCTTCTTGGGCACACCTCCCTCCTTCTCCTTCTCCTCCCCACCCCCCCCCCCCCCCCTTTTTATCACACACGCCCGCACCTGAAAAGGCTTCTTAGGCACGCATTTCTCCTTCTCATCATTCGCTTTGGCTTGCCCCCATACTCTGCCGCGATGTGCCCCATGCTCGCATAATGGGTGGCCCTGGCCCATTCCCCCCACGCACAGACACCCACCTGAAACGGCTTCTTGGGTACACCCCCGTCCTTCTCATCGTTCTCGCCCCTCTTGCGCTTCGGCTTGCCCTCACACTCCGCCGCCAAGTGCCCCGTCTGCCCGCACAGGAAACATTTGTCCACCTGCCCGGGCTGAAACACCACCTGCTTGGCAGCCAATGGCGTGGGGTGGGAGGGTGGAAAACAAAGAGTAGTCAGAGGATTAGGAGCAAGAGAGAGGCAGGCAGGCAGCGAGAAAAAGGGGTGTTTTGGGGACGTCTCAAAAACACAGAGTAGTCAGGGGATTAGGAGCAAGAGAGAGGCAGACAGGCGGGGATACAATTGCTGATGAGGAAGGTAAGAACCATGGAACGAGGGGAAAGGCAAACGGGGAAAGAGAAGACAGTGGAGGGCGGAGAGTTGACGACAGTGACATGAACAAAAGCAAGAGAAGGGAGGATTGGCAGATACTGCAGAATGGCTGGCAGGGAATCACGGATGGAGGGATGTACCATCCAATCAGAGGGTTTTAAGGGGAAGGGGGATAGGGATCGGGGGTTGGGTGGGTGGGGTGGGTGGTGGGGCTGACAGGTCGGATCTGACAGATAACCTTGAAGTTGATTTGAGAGCACAAACGGGGGATACGGGTGGCAAGCAGATACTGCTGAATGGCTGGCCTGGCCGTCACGAATAACGAGATGTACGATTCGAATGAGCGGGTTCTAGCAAGGCGTGGGGTTCTGAGGGGCTGGGCGAGCGCACACAGACAGTAGCTAGAGTGCGAGCACGAGAACACCGACCAACCTCTCTGAGAATGGTGAAGTGAACTTCGTGTGTTGCGAGGGCCAGCATGATCAGATCCGCGTCCTGCAGGGAATAAGGGACAGCGGCCCACAGGGAGGGGGGGAGCGGGAAGAGGACAGCAAGAGGGCATGGGTGAAGTGCACTGCGTGTGTTGCCAGGGCCAGCAGGGAATAAGGGGCGGCATAATGTTGGGTGTTGAGAAGCGGGAGGGGAGGGGTGGGGGGCAGGGTTGGATGGTAGAGATGGAGCATGTTTCAGTCAGTGAACTTGCAGGATCTTTTTAGAATTCTCTTCTTGAGCATGTACAAATTCCCTTCGTGTGTTGACAGGGCTAGCAAAAGCACCTCCGAGTGCCGCAATGTTAGGCAAGGGTTTTACAAAGAAGTGGAGGCGGGAGGGAAGGGAAGCAATCAGAAGGGAACAACAAGACGCCACCTACGTTTGAATCGAACGTACCAGCCCGTAGATGCAGTGGCGTGTGTTGGGGTCGAAGCCCGGAAGGTTCCGTTGCAGGCGAATGTAGTTCATGATCTTGTGCTCTCCCTCGCCTGGCACGTTGGCGTCTGATAGGATCACCTGGTGATGGTGGTGACGGTGGGGGTGACAGGGACGGCATGGCATGGAGGGGAAGGCATCAGGTAACCTGCGGGGCGGGCAAATGCAGTCCATCATCTTGTGCTCTCCCTCGCCTGGCACGTTGGCGTCTGATCAAATCACCTGGTGATGATGGTGATGGGCAGCATGGCATGGCATGAACGGAGAGGCATGAGATCAGATCTGCTGCAAGCACAAGGTCCTGGTTGATTTGATGCGCAGGTGGATGCAGGGTTAAAAAAAACGGCCGTATTTTTTAACCTTGGGTGGATGTACATACAGGTGATCCACCTGTGCTTGCAGATGGACAGACAGACAGACAGCAGCTGCATGGAGGGCGTGGCGTGGCGTGCCTACCCTCTTCCCTGCCTCCCTCGCCTCACTTACCCCTTCCTTGAACCCAGGCTCAACCCCAAACCTCACCTTGACATTCTTCCATGCAGGGCCATGGTTGATTTGATGCGCAGGTGGATGTAGTACTGCCGCGCGAGAGACAGCAGCTGCATGAAGGGCGGACCTACCCTCCCTTAAACCCCGGCCAACCCGAAACCTCACCTTGACGTTCTTCCACGCAGGGTCCTGATTAATCCTGAGTTGAATGTAGTACTGCAGCGTGACGGAGAGCTGCTGCATGAAGGGCGTGCCTAACTTCTCCCTCTCCTCACTCACCTCCCTTGAACGAAAGCCCGAAACCCTGCCAAATCCTCACCTTAACGTTCTTCCAGGCAGGGTCCTGGTTGATCCTAAGATGAATGTAGTACTGCAGCGCGACGGAGAGCTGCTGCATGAAGGGCGTGCCGGGCGTGATGACGTTGGAGTCGACCGTCTCCGACTTCTCCTTGGGTGGCACCATGCGCCCCTCCACCTCAAACTCCTTTCTGAGCCGCTCCTCCTCTGCTGCCTGTGTGGGGGAAGGGAATGAAGCAAAGGGTGATCACATGTAAGTCATGTGTCTCCGAGTTCTCCTTGGGCGGCACCATGCGCCCCTCCACCTCAAACTCCTTCCTCAGCCGCTCCTCCTCTGCTGCCTGTGTGGGATAGGGAGGGAGGCAGGCGGCGGCCGGGCAGGAAAGCAGGCAGGGAGGAAGGGAGGGAGGCATGGGAGGCGTGAGTTTCCGACTTCTCCTTGGGCGGCACCATGCGCCCCTCCAGCTCAAACTCCTTGCACAGCCGCTCCTCATGGCGGGCGAGGGAACAGGCGATGGTCGTATGGCCCTGGTCGGGCTGCTGAGCTGAGCGCGCAAGAGTCAAGGCAGCGGTGGGGTTGGGTTGCTGTGAATGGAGCACGCGCGAGTGAAGACACGTGCAAAAAGGGGGAGCCACATGGCATGGCAGGGGCTGTAGCGAGTATACTTACAGCGTCTGCTGCGTCCTTTGCTGCTCGGAATCGTCTGGAGCGCTGCTGGTTCATCTTGGCTCGCGGGGCCACACCGTCTGCAGAAGCAACGTTGGGGGAAAGGGAACAGCACGGCACAGCACAGTGACTTTCAAAGTCGGCTCGTGTTCGCGCAGCAACACCTGCTGGAACAGTCTTTGGGAAAGGGGACCGGCAAAGCACAACTGGGTGGGGGTGCTTGTGAAACGAATTAACATTCAAGTGAAAAGGACATTCAGCAGAAACCTTTAAAAGTAGCTGATAACACCCAGCGATTCCCCCAGAAGTAGAAGGGAACACCTACCAATGCCCATGAAGAGCACTTTGCGAGGGCGGATCATGGCGAAGAGGCGGTCAATGTAGTCAAAGATGTTCTGAAACACCTCGTGCAGGGTGGTGGGGGACGGCTGCATGCGAGGCAAGGGGAGTAAAGATGGACGGGGAGGAAGGCGTTGTGAGGGAAGAGAGCTAGGTAGACGAGGCGGTCAATGTAGTCAAAGATGTTCTGAAACACCTCGTGCAGGGTGGTGGGGGACGGCTGCAGGAGAGTGAGGTGTAGTGTAGGGAAGGATGTAAGGGGGCGAAGTGCGAGGAGGCAATTAATTCCTTCATGAACTTTCCACGACAGCTAGTGTGGCGTGCATTTATGCACATGATGATAAAAAAATGTGAGTTTTTTCATTGATTCCACGCTCTTGCTTTGATTAACACCTTTCTGCTGCAGGCGCGAACCCCCTTAACAAAACACAACGTTAAATGCGAGCGAGTAACTCTGTCCTACGACACGAATCGACAAACTTGCTGTCAGCGTAACTGGTTGATGCGTTTCTCCTCTACCGCATTCACACGCATTCGTCCGGGTGGAAGAAACGGCGGTGCCGCATATGTCGCCCCTGGACATGTACAACTCGCACAGAGGGAAACTCGATGCTAAAATAAACTTCCAACTAGGGTAACTCGCTGTTACGATAACTCCCCGTTAGGGTGACTTGCCGCTAGTAAACTCGCCGTTAAGGTAACTCTCCCTTAAGGGCATCGCCGTTAAAATAACTCGCGGTTCGCCGTTCAGACTCCCCTGGACCGTAATACCACCCAAGGCGTATCCACGGACTTGCACGACTTCCGAATGGAAACACGGTTGAAAGACACCGTTCATGTCCAGACACAAATTGTCGAACTCGCCGTTAGAGCGACTTGGGTTCGGAATTCAAAATTCCACTCAGCCGTGTTTGCTCTTACCATGTCTTCACGACTTACACGATCTTCGGGTGGATGTTTTGGTGATAGTACCGCTTATGTCAAACTCGCCGTTAGAAAAATGAACGGCTCGCCGTTCAATTCTCTTCGACAGTGCTTACTATCAAAGCGACTCAAAATACTTCGATCTTCGGGGTGGAAGCATGGATCGATGATGCCGTTCATATCGAGATACAAATTCACCGCTACAGAGAGTCTCGCGGTTCAACGTTTCAACTTCTCCTCATCCGTGTCCGTTCTAACAGCGTCTTGAAGACTAACGCGATCTACGGGGTGGAAGCACGGGTGGATGATGCCGTTCATGTCGAGATATCGTTTCTCAAACTCGCCGTTAGCGAGACTCCCCATCCTCCGTTCGAACTTCTCCTCAACCGTGTTCACTCTTACAGCATCTACAACGACTTACACGATCTTCAGGGTGGAAGCACGGGTGGATGATGCAGTTCATGTCAAGATACGGATTGTCAAATTCGCCGTGAACGAGACTCTCGGCTCGCCGTTCCGAATTCCCCTCAAACGCGTTCCTCTTACAACGTCTATACGGACTTACGCGATCCTCGGGGTGGAAGCACGGGTGAATGATGCCGTTCATGTCGAGGTACAGATTGTCGAACTCGCCGTTAGGGTTCGCTTCCACCGTGTTCACCGGCACCGTCACGCCGTCGATCACCTGCGGCTCCTCTTCAATCACATCCACTATAATCAACGGGTATTTGTCCGCCAACCAGCGGTAGAAAGCTGGAACACCCATCGCGTGCGGGTCGCCAGATGTAACCCCGCTATATCCCCGCCTGTGTAATTTGTCGAAGGGAAAAGTAGCGTGGACCAAATCGGCACGACAAGCAGAGACACGTAACTATAATCTAGTTCAGGTTTACGTATCTAACTACCAGCTCGCGGCTGGAGTGGAGAACGCGGCTGATGCCGCACGACGGGAGAAAACTGGATCGAAATTGGAAAATAATGAAATAAGGAGCTCAGTTAGAAGTTTGACGGAGGCAAATGGGTCCTAAGCGGGAGGTACGGAGGGTGAGTGTGGTGCGGCAGAACCAGGGTTTGGTGGGGAGGGAGAGAGACTGGCTGGAAGACGATTGCTGGTTGAAACTTGGAAGAAAAGTGAGGCATGCTGTGACGGAACGGACAGATGTGAGGAGAATTGGACGGCCAGATATTTTCAAGAGGCGACCCGACAAGTGCTGGCCGACGGATAAGAAAAGCCCATCAGATCTACATTTGGTGTGCCAAACTAAACCGTTGGATTAGCATGCGCACCATTCTACTTTCCCTTTTTTGTTGCGTTTGCCTCACTCCATCCACCTCAACACCCATACCAAAGGGTTTTCAGCTTAGCGGGGACAGGTATCCCGACCCCTCCGCTTTCAGGGAACGGGATTCGCTTCCTGCGGACAGTTTCCGCAAAAGGCTGGGCTAGGGGGGGACAGTTATCGTTCAGGTAAGGGAGTCTAGCTCTCAATGAGCCACGTGTCTCACTTTTCACAGAGAGTTCACTGTAGGTGTTAAATCACAGATTCCCTACAGCTCTGGCATGTCGTTTCGACCCCAAATATTTCACGCGGAAGAGTCGTTTAGCCCATTTGCGCTAGCGGCGCTAAACGACGCTACCGGGAACAATAAGGGCAGGTCATAAAAAATAAACCCCTAGGGAACCTTGACGCATTTTTGGGAGGGATCAACCCTAAACACGGGAAAGGGCATTGATTTCAGGGTTGATGCCTCCCCAAGTCGCATCCCTTTCCGATTGGGTCAGGGGATGCAATATTTATTCCCACATTTTCTCAGGGTGTCGGGTGCAATATACAGGTTTGGGAACAGCGGTTTGACCAGCCACCCAGAACGTGGGCTGGATTCAGTGGAAAAGACAAGCATGCGCAGTGCAGAATCTGTGATTGCATGTGTACAGTGAGCGAGCTGTGAAGGATGAAACACGTGGCTCATTGAGGGCTCGAGTCCCTTACCTGAACGATAACTGTCCCCCCCTAGCCCAGCCTTTTGCGGAAACTGTGCGCAGGATGCGAAACCCGTCCCCTGAAAGCGGAGGGGTCGGATCCCCGCGAAGCTGAAAACCCCATACCAAACCCAAGGGCAAGGTTTCACGTCTTCTAACAACTGCCCACGTCAGCAATAGGTGACCGACAAACAAATTTTCACTACAGAAATATCAAAGCAGAATATAGGTGGTGTACACTTGCAAAGTAGGGAAAGGCCCTTCGTATCAATTTATGTTAATCTTTGGCCAATTTTGCATGGTCTCCAATCATTGGGCATGCACGAAACGGATTCTGACGATCTGTTACGAGTGCAATCAAGCGAACGAGCGAGAATTGCACTATCGAAGCAAACAATACAGTTGGGCGAAAAGAATGAGCGAAGTTATATGGCGAAGCTAGCGTGGCAACGGTAATGCAGGAAATTGTGGTGCGCTACGGGCCTAGCGCCGAGGTTTGGGAATTGTAGAGGCGGAGGTCCGGAGCGCGGGTTACCAACCGAACCGTTAGGTTGGGTCGCATCGCGAACAGTGGCGGGAGTCGTGGCCGAGGCGAGTGCTGCGAGCGGGTAACGTTTCACTGTGGGTGCCGATGGCGGGAATGGGCATGTACGCGGTAAGCAGGGGCGCGAAGTAAGGAAAATGAAATTTCCTTACACTACCCCCCTCCCCTAGGAGGCCCTCCTTACGAGAGCGCGTGTACATCTCGAGATACTCAGTGAGGACAGGGTGGTTCTCAATTCTATCCAGGGGAACCTAGTTGTCTTCGGTGGGCGTGCGGTCTTTCCAGCGGATCAGAAATTCGATCCTGCGGGCTCCCCGTGGGTCACGTACTCGGTGGCTCTGTATTTTTTCGGGCGTGATGATTGGTTCTGTCGGCGGTCGTGTCATGCTGGCGGGGGGGTTGCGAGGCAGTTGGCTGGTGGATGGCACGTATGGGCGAAGCAGGCTGACGTGGAATGACGGGCTGACGTACCAGTCAGCAGGGAGGAGAAGGTGGGCGGTGACGGGTGTGATCATGTGGCTGATGCGAAATGGCCCGCAATATCGGGGGCGGAGTTTCGGGGTGATGGGCAGGCGGAGGTTTTGAGTGTCGAGTAGCACGAGGTCGTCGGGCTGGTAAGTGACGGGTCGGCGGTGGCGGTCGGCGTTACGCTTAGTGATGATGTTTGATTTTTTTATTGCGTCTGCTGCTCGGGTCCGTGCTGCTTGTAAAATCTCTGCGAACTGTTGTGCACATGGCACCGGGTTGTCGGGATTCGGGGTCATGGGTACTGTGGGGTCTTCTCCGTAATTCAGGTAGAACGGTGGCTGTTGGGTCGTGGCGGATGGCGAGTTGTTGTACGCGAATTTGATGAGTGGCAGTTGTTGTTCCCATGTGGTAGGGTCGTCGCACGTGGCTCGGATGAGCTGTTCCATGGTCTGATTTGTCCGTTCTGTCTGTCCGTCGGTTTTGGGGTGGTACGATGAACTGAACTGTAGTCGCGTGCCGAACTGTTGCCACAGGTTCCGCCAGAAGTTGCTGGTGAATTTCGTGTCGCGATCGCTGATAACTGATGCTGGTATCCCGTGCAGTCGAACGACAGTGGAGATGAAGAGGCGGGTTGTTTCTTCGGCTGTGATTGTTTTTTTGCAGGCTGCGAAATGTGCCATTTTCGTCAGCTGATCGACGACGACCAGGATCGCGTCGTTCCCACTTGCTCCAGCCGGTAACCCCGTCACGAAGTCCATCGTCACCTCCTCCCAAGCACGCTTTGGGGGTGGTATCGGTTGCAACTGTCCTGCCGGCCGCTTCCGTGATGACTTCATGAGTTGGCAGGTGGGACACGATGCCACTGTCGTTGCATGTCGATCAGCATTTCGGGCCAGTAGTAATACCGTTGCAACTGCTGCCGTGTTTTCTCTACTCCGAAATGTCCTGAGGTAACCCCGTCGTGTGCCTCCTGTACTAACAGCTCCCTTAGTAAAGTGTAGCTCGGTACCCAGATGCGGTCGGTGCCGGCTTTTACGTAATTAACCCCCTTTGCTGCTGCGAACTGTTGCGAATATCCACCTGTGAAGAACGGGTCGGTTTGATAGCCATGGGTAAATAGTCCTGTTAGTAGCCGGCTGGTCTGGGCGAGTAGTATGGCGTGGATTTGGGTAGTGGGGCGGGTCAGTGCGTCGGTAATGTTCGATGCCCCTTTTTTGTAGGTGACCGTGTAATGGAAGTTTGACTCGAGGAAATCGAGCCAGCGGATCTGTCGTGGGTTGAGGTGGGGCTGTGCGCGTAGGTACTGTAGTGATTTATGGTCTGTCCGTACTGTCACGTCTGCGCCGGTCAAGTAACAGCGCCACACTTTGAACGCATGCACGATCGCGAGCATTTCGCGATCGTGTATCTGGTAATTCTTCTCGGGCGGATGCAGTTTTCGTGACTCGTATGCGATGGGTTGTAAACCGTTGCCGAAATACTGTAGCAGTATGGCTCCAATGGCGATGCGCAGTACGAGCGGTGAACAGAGAACATTTTTCAGGGCAGAGAAGGCAGTATGCTCTTTCTCCCCCCATGTAAAAGCAACCCCCTTTCGCAGTAAATCCGTCAGCGGGGCAGTTAACCGTGCCATGTCGGGGACGAACCGACGCACATAATTAATGAACCCTAAAAAACACTGCAGCTCCGTGATGTTCGTCGGGGGGTGCCACGCTTTTACTGTGTCCAGCTTTTTTGGGTCCATCTCAACTCCAGCCTCCGAAATAACGTGCCCCAGAAATTCTAACCTATCCTGGAAGAACTCGCACTTGGAACCCTTGGTCAGTAATCTGTGCTTGCCTAAAACTTTAAACACTGCTTCCAGATCTGCTAAGTGCTGCTGCTTATCACGACTGTAGACTAGGATGTCCTCGAGGTAAACTATCACGCATTTATCTAAGAGCGGCCTAAACGCCTCGTTCATGGTCATCTGAAATGTCGCCGGTGAGTTGGTCAGCCCGAATGGCATCACGGTGTACTCGAATGACCCGTACCTTGTCAGAAGTACGAACGAGAATGAATGAACTAGCAGCATGCAGGAGTACAAGTAGGAAACCCTAATTGGGTTGTACCCCATATGGGCTACCCCACTATAGCCTACACAACATGTAACATATAAGTTTGACACACCCCCATAGGCAAAGTGGGGGAGAACAAGAGGTCACAAGACCAGTCAAGCAAGCTCAGGGTGGATCACGAAGTCACCACACACTCTGAGCACAAGCAAATGGCCACAAGGCCAGTTCACATGCAGAGTTATATAATGGAGAGCAAGAAGTACAGCGATCAGAACCTAGCAAGTGCAAGCATGCAGGTATAAGTATATAGATCACAGTACAAGCAAAGTCAAGAAGTGAGCAAGTGAGACCAAGTAGGCACACGGCCTAGAACAGTACAAAAACGCTGATGATCACAAGGCTGAAGTGCCTTGGTGAAGATATCAGCAGTGTTGGCCCGAGAGGCCACGTAAGCAAGACGAAGCTGACCACGCTGCTGCATCTCTCGAGCAAGGAAGTTGCGCAGAGCGATGTGCTCCGTTCTGTGCTCCAGTCTGTGCTCCTGACACAAGGCAATCATGGCCTTGTTTTCGACGTACAGAATTGGGGGAGAACGAGGCTGCTCTCCCAGGTCAGTCAGCAGGTAGGTGAGCCAGCGTAACTCCTGTGCAGCCATGGCTCCTGCGTAGATCTCAGCCTCACAACTGGAACTGAGAACAGAAGACGAGCGGGTAGAC